TATACACACACCCTTTAAAAATAAATATATACAGTGTTTTTGTACCTCATTTGCACACACATTACACCTGTCAGTTTGTGGAATCAACAGCTAATTAGGAGGTTAGTATTACATGATCAGAATTATTTCTTGAGCGCTTGTGTCAGACTAATGCATTCCGAATTCTCATCTTGGGTTCTTTTAATGTTCGAGCCTAGGGACATAACTAGGCCCTCAGCAGTCATAAAATTGGACATTTGTATTTTTAACAATGCTCGGAAACAATGGAAGGTCAGCCATTCAGTTGCCATTATATACAGCCATGACATCAATGAACCTATTGAATTAAAAAAAAAAAATTCAGCTGGGGATCAAAGTAGGGCCCAATCATTGCTCTGTGATCATTACGTGGGAATTAAAAGCAATGAGAGTGAAGGCCAAAGAGAGAGAGATGAAAAAAGTCTTGGGTCTTTGGACCACTAATTAAACCATGGAAAGATTAAGATAATTGGGAAAGAAATTTACACAAAAGACCTTATTGTTCCGGTGACAACAGGCCGGTCTCAGTCATTCATTGTACAGTATTTCTCTGCCATGATAGAGGAGCCAAAATCACTGTGGTTACTGTTGCCATGGAAACACTGGCCCAGGGTGAAGCGGTTTCTGCTGCACAACTGGTTATTAAGAGATTTTTAATTTATTTGTCTTTTTCCAGGATATTTTATTTTTGGATGTGACATGATCGAGTTCTCCCCACTCAAAGTAATTACACTTGATAACAACATTCACTGTAAACACCGACTTCCTTAATTAGAATTTGCAAAGGGCATCTACTTCCCAGTGTATTTAAAGTTTGAAGAAAAAAAAAAAAACACAATGTATGTCAAGGTATGGTGGTTGCAGGGATCTCAAGTCTCCCTGATGTTCAGGGAGTCTCCCTCTATTAGATAGCGGCTCCCTGGCGTCTGCAAGAGAGGCATTTTCTCCCTGAAAGGTTTGCTCTGAGTAAACCTTTCCGGTAAGATATCAGTGGGTAAGTTTTCAGAGTGAGGCTTGCCTCCTGGAGGAAGGTCATGTGATCTCTAGAGTAGCCTCAGAACGAGGCTTGGCTCTCAGAAGGAAGAAGCTACTTGCTGCACAGAGAGGGCGGACATAGACTACTATTGAGAGCAGGTACAGGCACTGCTGCAGGGTTGAGAGAGTGCTGTTAACCCTTTGTGGATAATATAGAATCAATTATATGTCCTGGTTGTCTAGTTATAGAGAACATTTATTTAATTTGCTGCCCATAGCAACTAGTCAACTGTGTATCTGTGTAACTGTGTACTTTACTCCTCAGTGTTTTTTTAAAAAGGTCTTGGGCTGTCTAATAAATTGTGACCTTTACACTGACAGATACTTGAACATCAATTCACAAATCTGATGTGTGTGTGTATATATATATATATTTATTATTATTATTTCTTTTATATTCTGACGGCCACTGTAAAAAAAAAATACGAAAGGGCACCTCACTGAAATAAGGTTTTGCAGGTTGGGATGTCTGTGGTTGGATGTAAAATATGAATATTGCAAGGCCATCCTTTAAAGCCATTTCAAGAGAAAATGCAAATTAAAGTGTGTCATTACAAAAACAAACCTATCATATAGCTCTGTGCAATGTTGTTGCACACAGTTCATAGGGTCAATAAAGGCCCACCATAACCAAAACTATAGCTTCTGGTAACTGTATGTAGTTAATTCCTGTCAGTGCCTTTGGCACCCAAGGCTAGGATGTACTTTAAAGACAGAGGCAGCTCCATTCCCCCCTCCACATTGTGGCAGCCAAGGCAAGTGCCTCTTCTTTCTTAACCATGGCTCTGATTCCTGCAACAATAGTACTCAGTTTAGCTGCTGCTGCTGCTGCTGCTGCTGCTGCTACTGCTACTACTGCTACTACTACTACTACTACTACTACTCGAAAATTTACGCATCGCTTTACATAGTTGCAAATTCACGTAAGTCACTGCCCTCAAGGAGCCTACAATCTAAGGTCCCTATCTCTGATACATACAGGAGCCAATTAACCTTTCAGCATTTCTTTGGAGGGTGGAAGGAAACCCACGCAAGTACAGGGAGATCATGCAAACTCCTTGCAGATAGTGTCCTGATCGGGATTTGAAATCGGGGGGACCCTAAGTACTGCAAGGCAGAAGTGATCACCTCTACGTCACTGTGCTGCCTTTAGCTAGATCAAAGTGCATGTGAACCCCAATAATGAACTTCTCTTATTTCGCACCCTTTTGGTCTGTTGAATATACCATTGGAAGCATTTGGTTATACCTGCTCAATAAGTGCATAAAAACCCCTGTTGATCAATGTCAGACATTCAGAACTGTCCAGTCCACACGTCCAGTTATTTCAGTGTAATTGGCCCTCTTAATTCTTATCATAAACAATATAAATATTAGTTTCCAGGTTGTAGGAAATAGGAGACTGGGAGGATTTGTGCAATTTAGCAGAAGGCAGTGCTGAGTGGACTGTAAAATCACTTTCTTGAATTTCCACACCAGTTATTCTGATACAACTGGGTTATACTGCCACCTACAGGACAATTTGGACACTAGCACAAATGCCATTGGCCAGCCAGCTTCAACCCCTCCCACTCTCAACATGCTTCGGTTTTGTAGAAAAGCAGTACTTAAGATTAGAACAAAAACAGAGGTGTGGGACCTGTGTTGATTGGGACATCCAAAAGCAGTCCAGCTGGGGGCTTGCGCAACATAGCACACAAACAGAATACAACTAGGGACAGCTTACAGCTCAAAGAACTACCTGAAGGACCTTGCATCATATGAGGCCTGCACGTCCACCTGGCAAAACAGCGAACATGTGAACAGAAGACAGGTGGAGGCCTTGCACATCTGGGAAGCAACTGCCTGATTCCTAAAAGCTCAAGAGGCACTCACAGACATAGGTTGGACAACATGAAGGGAGGCAGAGTATGGATCTCATCACCTGGACACCATGTCTCTTACCCGGGCATCTAAGATGCTTTCTTTTTTTTTTTCTTTTTCTGAAGAGGAAAAGAAAAACCCGTCAGACTCCGCAGTATGGTAATCTAAGTATTTCACAATTGAAACTATTTCAAGCCTTAACTTTTGCAGAGATCACATGACCACACAAAAGCATTTAGTCACATGACAGACCTTCACTTTTAAGTAGGTGAAGTCCTCCATGTGTCCTCTCCCATAAACACATGGCAATATATCAGTTTGGATATACCTAATGCACAGAACATACAAGTGCCCCCTCCACAACCTGCTTTTGATGCTTTCTGACCAGGTGTCCGCAAAGGCCGATGGACATTCCTCCACTTTGGAAAGTGGGGGCATCCCTTCATGCCAAAGGTTTACGGTTGTACTGGGCACTACGTTAGGCCTGGGAGAAACAAAAAGAAATCTTGGCATGTTGAGGCTTAGGCTTCTTTTAATGGGTTAAATGAGTAATATTACCACCAGTAACTACTTTGATGACATTGTCTAGTGAAACACCAAAAGGGCAGTCGCCATCAAAAGGCATGTGCAGCTTGCGATGCCTACCCCTGGGCTTCGACCACCGCCTGTTGACACTCTGAGATCCCACCATCCTCACCACTCCATTAATCCATCACACCGCAGCTTCTCAAGATCATTCTCCTTCTACCGCTCCTTCCTTACTCTCCTCCCACTCCTCTTTCTGGTCTTTCCCCTACAACCCCCCAGACCTCGACCCCCCTCCTTTTTCTGTTTTTGTTTTCTCATGAAGGGTTTAGCCCTCCCTATCGTAACTCCTTAGAATCTCTTGGTTGAGGTGAGATCCCCTAGCTGACGATCTCGCACTCCTGAGAACCACTCGACCTTATTTGCTTATCTGTTTGCTACTTGATGATGCCAAAAATGTAATTCTTTTTTTAGGAGCGCTCACCAGCCCTATGTCATGTGCTGTGTATTGTATTATTTTGTTCTTTGACAAAACCTCAATAAAAATATTTTAAAAAAAAGGGCATGTGCAGCAAGCAATATTTACAAAGCTGTTCCATAGACCGACATTTTAGTTACAGAGATCTAATGTTCAGACAGACTTATTCAGGAGATTAGACAGATAATATCAGCTAGACCATCAACACAATAATGTAGATTGAAGGCAAAATGATTAGCCAATCCAGGTGGCTGCATAGAGAGCTAGCTTAGCAACATGTAGATGATGTCTTTATTGAAGAAACATTTTGAAAAAAAATAGAATAAAAAAAAAAGAATTGAAATGACTAGTAAAAGAGGTGTAAACATTTCCTAATAGATGAAAATAAAACATCCCTCCTCCTAGGACACTAGCATTAACCTGAGGCATGGGAAGGGTTTCCAGATAGCAAGCATTGGTAGACTTGCCAAGCTTCACAATTTGGTTGCACAATTACAGCAAGTCTACATTGCAAGTCTCCAGATCAATGTGCTTTGCAAAAGTTCTGCACACTTGCAGAGTTCTTGATAAGACCTGCAGGGCTCTTGTTGTAGACTTGCCAAGCAAATTTGCTACAAATTAAAAAAAAAGTGTCAACTAGAACTTGTGCTGCAAGTGTTCTGCAAGTCTACAACTTGCCAGAAATGTGTGCAGCAAGTTAGAAAGAATTACAATTTAACCCTGCCACACGTTTGTGGCAAGTAATCCTTACTATCTGGGTTGTACCAGGTTGGCCAATTACTTTTTGTTTGCCAGTGTCCAAATCCTCTTATAGGCAACCATATAACCAAATCATATCAGAATATCTGAATCCTGTGTCCCCTAATGAACGATAAAGAAAGAAGAAATCCTTCTTGAATTGGGTTGGTAGAATGGGTTATCTTGATAGTCATGGAACTCTACTAAACTATCCCTATTGGAACTTTTACCTTTTAAAGTATGGAATTCCTTTACTACAGATCTATCTATTGCTTTGTATGGAGCATTCATTCCACATCCACATACTTTTGACTCTTAAAATGGACAAGTAAATCTCTTACGGTTAAATAATTTTATTTAATAGATTTTGGTGGCTTACAAACTTTGTTAAAATGTTTACTGTAATGAAGATTAGTAAAACCAAAGAATATAATTAAGGAAAAAAAAAAAATCAGACCTTTAAAAAATGACTTTTCCGGTTGGGAAAACAAATGAACACCTTTTTTATAACCACTTTCTAAAAATGCACATCCAGGACAATATTACAAATGAAATTTTGCAAAAAAGAACATTTTTAGACAAAAACATATAAGGTTTTGTTTTACAGCAATAATACATTAGGAAGAGATTTAAAATGTTATTTTGTTTTAAAACCATACCATATTTGGAAAACTGTATATGGCAGTGCAAAAAAAAAAATACAATTGTACTTTAAAAGTGCTAAATACAGCAGCGATTTAAAAATAGCACATTTCACATTGGTAAAGCAGTGCAGAAAAAGTTGATCATACTGTATGGGATCAGAGATGGTCTCTTCTGAACAATATGAGTGTTTAAAGAGAATCCAGTCCTTTGCAGACTGATGAACAGGACCAAAAACAATGGGGAGGGGGATATTGCAAACCCAGTGTAAACTGATCATTTAAAAAATATATACAGTACTTTAAGTGCTTTTATAATTTCAGCAGTCCAACTGAGTCCCAAAACTAAAGATATATATTTTTTCCTTTGCGAGGTATTTCTTGCGTGGACAACTTTATCATATGCATTGTTTACATGAATATAAAAGCTACGTAGGTTTTAGTCACAGCACTATGTTATGGTCCAAACTTGTCCAAAGATTCTGATGTATACTGGGATGGTGAAAAAGAATCCATACAGAACCCTTTGGTTATTGCACAAGCGCCCTCTGGATTCCCCCTTTCCTCTATGGAATTGTTGTTTACTAGGTTCTGAAGTCTTTGCCGCTCTTGGGCCTGCTTTGCTCTGTTGGCAATGTACCGTACTCTGCTTTGACTTCTAGAGGATGTTCTTCGAAGAAGATTCATACCATCATCCTCGTACTGAACCGGCTGAAATTCAGTAGGGGATGTAATATCATTTTCTTTCTCAAAACTAGTTAGCTTCTTCAGTTGCTCTGTGAGCGAATCTGTGGACTTGCTAGAAGCTTTTGTACCATTTGGTCTTCTTTGCATTCTCTGTGATCTTGTAATAAAGCTTCTGCTAATGCTCCTATACTTGCTTTCAAAGTTGCATGTAATATCATCTGAGGTCAGATCTCCAAGACTTTTAGACATTGACTGACTGGTGGATGTTTTGTTACTAGAGTTAGATTTGCTAGCTGTCTGTTTAAGACTCTCCATATATAGTCTATTCCAGGTGTTTCGTCTCGGTAGGGGTGGCAGTACCTCCTCAGGACTTCTGGCCAGAGGTTTTGGATACAGTTCACCTATTGCTCTGTTGTTGGACATTAAATTTGGGATTGATTTGCTTTTAGTTACTCCTAAAGAAACCTCTCGAGCTAACGTTGTTGCTGATCTCGGTCGCATGGTATTTATTACACGAATGCTTTCAAAGTTATCATCAGATATATCGAGATCCAACAAGCTTTTTTGTGCTAAATTGGGCAAAGAGAGATCAATCACTGTGTCATTAGAGGATTTACTGGAAGACGAAGACATGCTATCCCTATGACTGTTAGACTCTAATTTGCTCCAAATCTTATCATTCATGGTGGCATCAGAATAAATCTCTGCTACTGGAGACTGGCACACAGAATTCAATTTCAAGGCTGAGCTGTTTGAAATAACATGACCTTCACTTTTTGTTCTTCTCATAGGTACAGGTGGACCAACCCTGGCCATGGATGGTTGTTGAACCACACGGTCAACTTGTGGTCTCTGAGCTGTAGAAGGTAACAAATGCTTTTTTGGATTGTTTAGTATCTGCTGTTCAGGAAACCTACTCATTTTATTTGCCTCTGTAGTGCTGGTGCTTTGATGTGACGATTGCTCTACTTTGTTTTCGTTGACTTGACAATATTTGGCCTGGTCTCTTGAAACATCAGCTAATAAAGACATCCCTGGCTTCATGTTGGCAGAATTAATGGTAAGTGAGGTTTCATGTTTTCCATTAATGATGGTGAGTGTGTTTGCATTCTTATCCTTGTACAGTCTTTCAGTATTATTTTTTGAATGTGTGGACAGATCACTGGATGCATTCGATATTTTACCTGCAGCAGGTTCAGTGTTTAATCTGTTTGTTGTGTACTTGATATTGGAGGTACTAGATGCGTAAGGACATTCAGATGGAGATCCTGTGGGTTCATCACACCCTTTACTGCCATCATTTTTGACTGAGGCAGCAGGTTGCTTAACTTTTTGACCAGGAAAAGGTATTTCCTTGGCAAAGGTGGGTTCTTCTGTAATGGTTTCAAGACTGCATAAAGAAGAGACCGACCTACACAATGAAGTTTGTCTGGCATCTGAAAGAAAATGAAAAACAAATTGTTGTAAGTTAATCATCCAAGAAATAAAAAATAACATTGGGGGAAATTATCAAAACGGAGCAGACAAAATCTGGAACAGTTGCCCAGGGCAACCAATCAGCTGCTATCTTCAGTTTGTTCAGTTAATATTTGAAAATGACAGAGAGAAGCCGATTGGTTGCCATGCACAGCTGCACCAGATTTTGTCTGCTCCAGTTTTGATAAATTCCCCCTCATTATGTTTTAAAACTGCATACGATTGTAAAAACAAAATGCAACATATAACATTTTTGTGCAAAGTACCTCTACTACCCCAACCCTGTAGGACGGTGCTGATCCTGGGCTTCACTGTGCCTTGTGCGTGCTTGGGAGCGGTACAGCAGCTCTGTCACTAGAGATCATTACATCTGCTGATGATCTCCCTCTAGTGTTGTGAATGCCGAAGTGATGTATATTACATCACTTCGGCATTCAGCTGTCAGTTTTTGGCTACAGAAGCCGGTGAGAAGCTTGTGAAGCAGATCTCTGCTTCATTCGTTTCTTTGGCGGCCCTAGATGACATTAGGGGTCTTAGAGACTCCTGATGTCTCCATAAAGAGGACCTGTTATTGTAAATTAACTATCACATAGGGGGCTTTCTTATCCCCCTATGTGATAGCAATAAAGTTAAGTGGGGAAAAAAAAAAAGGTAAACATTAAAATACATAAAAATAATGTAAAAAAACCCCCACAAAAATGTTTTAAAGTACCCTGCCCCACATACACACACAAACATGCGTCAAGTGCACCTACGTGCGATAATAACGATTGTGCCGCACATGTTATATATTACCGTGAATGTCAGAGTGCGAGCAATAATTCTAGGGCCATTAATCACTTAACACTAAACTGATGAGCGGTAAAAGCTTTTAAAGCGTCGCCTATGGCCAATTTTGGGTATGGTAGTTTTTTGCGATTTTGCGGGCACACGCAATTTTGAAGCTCGACGTGTTTGGTGTCTATTTACCAGACATGACCCTGTCTTTTATATTTTACCAAAAATTTGGGTAATAATAAATGTTTCATAACATAACGTAGGAAAAACTTTTCCAAATTTTTTGTTATATAGTAAAAAAATTAAAACCCCTATGGGGGAGATTAATTAAAACTGGAGCAGACTGAATCTGGAGCAGTTGACCATGGCAACCAATCAGCATCTCTCTTCACTTTGCTCAGGTAAGATTTGAAAGCGGATTGGTTGCAGTGCAAATCTGCTCCAGATTTTGTGTGTTCCAGTTTGGATAAATACCCCCTTATGTGTCTCCAAAAAATGGTATAAAATTAATATCAGTGCAGCGTTATATGACGGAATAAATGTCAAAGTACTGCAGTGCTAAATACTGAAAAATGGCCTGGCCAAGTAGGGGGTGCAAACACCCCGGTCTTCAAGTAATTAAAAGACAAATGGTTGGGTTTGCATTTAAAAAAAAATATTCTTAATCTTTCAGTGGCAGTTACCCCAAGATATTCTCTGCTAGCTCTGTGTCGGAGTGTGACAGTGTTCTTGCCTTGTGACTGGCTGCTAGGCCAAGCACTGCATCATAGGAGGGGGCCAAATGCACTCCCATACTTGGAAGCACAGAGTATTTTGCTGTGGCTATGAGAGGGGAAGAAGCAGTGGAGAAGTTCTGTGATGGTAAATATAAGTGGGTCGAGGGGCAGACTTTAAGACACTACAATAATGAAGGTAACTGAAGATTACTTTGGAGATCTGCTTCCGAGTCCCCTGACGGACATAAAAAGTCACTCAATGATGCATCACAATGGCATTATTCACCCATAACTGAAACATCCATTTTGGAAGAACTGGATAAAACAGGATAGGTGACATTCTACTATTTCTCACATGCAAATTACATCATTATCTCTATGTTTGCCTACAGGAGCATGACGATATTGTGTGAATCAGAAAATTCTACTAACAGGTGGAATAATCATGTTATAAATACCTGAGAATGTGGCAATCTCTGAATTTCAAAATAATTTTGCACATGAGGTAACGGAGGTTATGTCACTCACCACACATGGGTTATGTCTGGCAGTAGGCACCAGTGTTCAGAGTCAATGTTGAAACAGACCACTGGTGTAAAACCATAACGCGTGTGCAGAGCTCACGTGTTTGGAGTTCAATGTATAGTGCTGACAGAGCTCAGTGTTCAGTTCCTTCACTGTTGTGAAAATCAGCTCAAACATGTGCAATCAATGAACTTCCATGGAAATAAACTCTTACACTGGTGAAGAAGTTGCTTACTGCTGCCTAGGAAAATCTGTATATTGTTCAAGCAACCTTTATTCAAAAAAACGTGGTCATAATACTGAAATGATAGCATAACCTGTAGTTATAGCTGTATTGTATTGTAAAGGACATTACTATGTAGTAAGCTTGCCAACAATAGTTAGTAAGTACACTTTACAATGCATTATGTGACAGACATGTTTACGCTCCAATTTCTTTATGATGCTAGTCTTTTTGTCCATATTCGCCCTTTCTTATGTAGTCTGAATTAACAAGCACATGCTACTTTATTAAACACACAAGACGACATGCAAAAATAGGCCACACATTCTTCATGCATATAGGATTTTGAGACAAAATTCAGTAGCAGGGTTTACTTGGAAAAACAGACTGGAGCTGGTCAGACACATTACAAATCTGACAGTATAATCTTTGAACAATCTAATTTAAATTTATGAATAACTGTGTAAGGCCCTACTGAAATGATTGATTCAATCATCAATCAACAACCAGCCAGCTAAGCCCTCTACGCTACAGAGTAAAAGGTAAATTTGATTATACAATCAGATAGTAATGCGTGTGGTCAGCGTGAGAAGTCAACAATTGGCAATACCTCTTACGTACCTACATTTATTGGTTTCCTAAAATAATTTTTGTTTTAACATTGTTGTTTTAGTAGTGTCATAAATGTTTCCAGCTTTTGAAGCTTTCAAAGTTCACTTGGTTTCTATTAACCTTTTATTTTCATGCTAGAAGTTATAATGCAGGGAGTTCTTCTATTTGCCTCTCCTGATAATTTCACCAATTATTCTACAGTATACCATTGCTTCTTGCTGTTGATATAGATTTGTTTAATTGTTCATGATATACTACACCTAATCAACTTATAAGGTCTACAAAAAACAATTTAAGGAGAGGTGAGAATAATGTGGTCTGGGATACTTTAGACACTGTAACTATGACCTGAATGGGCAGTCTTTATAGGACAGGGTATATGTAAGCAGGTGGAGCTTAGCCCAGAAGTATGGCCCTTAGCAAAGTAAAACTACATTGGAAAGTTTTCTACCTAATAGAGGTAGTAGCAGTAGGCACCTTTGTGCTGTCTGCTATTTTAAAGTTTTTCAATTGGTGAAAAGTTTTCTTTAACGTTGTACTGATTCTAAAGAGTGAAATATTAATGCCATATTGATTTTTGATCTTCATACTCATATTTGGTTTTTTTTTCTAGTAATTCACATTAGATACTTAAGAGGTATTGGCAAAGCATAACACAAAAGGCCATCTTCCACATGGCTTGTAAACCAGTAACAGCTTGTTACCTTATCTGGCTGGTCCTTTCAGTCTTTTACTAGAGAGTCGAGGAGAATACAAGTGAAAAGGCAGAACACATGAGAGTAGTTAGTGAGGAAAGGAATCCAGGAAGTTTAATTTAAACATATAGTCCACACAACACAACAAACAAGCACTACTACATCACAGTTTAATGTCCTCCAGTTAGAGTAGTTGTAAGATTGTAAGTAAAATCCCAGAAAGCCACTCGTGCACTGCTTCTTGCCAAGAGAATTGCTCATGAAGCCATGGCAGGTCAGGCTGAGACAACGTTTGTGTAGGAATGCACTGGCAAACTCAGGTAGGGGGAGTGAGATCACATTTATACACAGACACTATCCCTTTGTGGTGTTTGTAGGCACTCTAACAATGGCTAATGTTATCAAGTTTACATGCTAAGATGCACCTGGATTCAAATTCTATGCAATTATTGTACCACCTTTTTTGTATTTTTTTGGGACGTAACATTTTTTGAGGGCTGGCTATTGCTTGCAGAGCCATCAATGCCTGTATGCATACTGGGAAACACTTGCTTGATGATTTATTTGTTCTCCAATATCTTTTTTATTTTTTCCCTAATCTCTCGTTCAAAATGTGGACCTGTTTGGAATGCAAACTTCTACACCTATATTGAGGAAAATTTCCATAAAAAGGGGGGTTCTGCTTGCTGTAGTTGGCCTCTTGTGCAAACAATCTATTCTGTTACATGGCACTGTCTGGGAAGGCATAAGAGGACATTGCTTTAGATATTTACAACCTCTGCTTATTTGGTGATTTTTAAGGGTAAATAGGAGAGAAATTTGCTTGTCACCCAAAAGCAGCTATTAATCTCCACTGCCTGCATTAGGCGTTACACGGGGCACTGCCAATAAAAAACTCTAACTGGAAAGCATCACACACAGCAAAGACATTGAAAATTACAACAATGTTGTGACTAGACTCATGGCACTAATGTCTGCAGACTAAAACCACAACACTGAATGAGCAAACTAATAGAATTCTATGTTGTGACTGATGTTCTACGAAGGTCATGGCAGGACATAATATGCATCTTACCAGTAAAGAATATAGGGGATTTACTTCGAATTTCCTCCAACTTTTGAACGAACAAGGCATTCATTTCCCTTTGAAGGGTGCCCATTTGCCTTCGAGAAGTTTCATGCCAGACCATAGACAGTTCGGGACTTCCAACGCTCTCTAGACTGCTGGAGCTAGAGGAAACTGAACCACTGCCAACAGGTACCAAATTGACAGTACTTCCATATCTGCCACCTGTTTGGCATTGCCATCTCTGTCTAGAATTACTTTTCATCCCAGCACATTTAGAGTCTCCATTTTTCTTTCCCGGAATAACAATAGACTGTGAGTTTCGGGGTGGATCATTGGCATTCCCATGGTCACTGAGAGATAAGTCTGTCTGTTGCCGCCTTGGCTGATCTGTAATACCGTAATATTTCAATTCTAACCTTTCTTCTTGCACACTGCTATAATGTTCGCGAGCTTTCATGTCATGTATAATAGGCTTGGCGCTGGTATTATCACTCCACTTACAGTCTAGATCTGGGCTTTCTTTAGAGCCAATCATACATTTCATACAGTTGCTGGCCATTCCAATCCTACCTGAACCATTCATTGAGCAACGTGCGAATACACCCATTTTATGAGAAGGGCTGTCATGATGGGGGACTCTTTCAGATCTCCGAAATGATTCGCTGAACATCGTTCCCCTAGAGATACGAACATGGCCTTTGCTTTTACCAGAGCTACAACTCTTACCTTTCAAACCCTTGCTGTGCATTTCCGTGGGAGTACCGTCCCTAGATGGAAGAATCGGAGAAGCACTTTCAGCCTCTTTATCAAAGCGGGGTATAGAGGAATCATCTGTCTCTCTATCTTCGCTAGCTCCTTCTGAACTGTTGTCTTTGGAATCAATGGCAATTTCTGGAAAGCCCTTTTTGTGTTTTTGCTGGCCTTTAGTTGGAGCACTGGCAGTTCTTCTCAATATGTGGCTACTAATGGAATGTTTCCGATGAAGCTGCCCAGCAGCATGACTGTCCAGAGAGGCTTGCTTTGGGTTTCTCAGAAACAGTCCTTTTAAGCCCACGGCCTGCTTGACCTGAGTAGAAAGCAGCCAGAGGAAGAGAAAATAATTAGGAGTTGCTTGTACAACATGAAATGAACATGAGGATGTTCATGTTCCCGCCATATGTAGGTGAACATTTTTGGTCAACAAATAAAACTGGAACCAAAATTACAAAATTATAAAAAAACAAAAACACATTGTACTGCTATAAGAAAAAGGTGACACTAAATAATACAATATGTTTATGATATGGCATTTAAAAAAATTATGTAAAGTAAATAAAATTTTGTACCAATTTTGTTCCTGTTTTAATAATTTTATTCTTAGTATTTTTTCAAAAGGTAGCAAACTATGTCCAAGATCCATAAAGCTCTTGATTAATGTTTAAATGAACAACCCCTTTAAAATCTAGGGTTTTAGAGATAAGGTAGAGTATCCTAGATGGCCACAATTATCATCAAGAATATGGACATAGTCTACTGGAAAATGTATGTATAAATTACCCTTTTATTTGATCTTGAGCTTCAAGTTACAGTTTAGAAACATTAATGTTATTTTTCACATCCCAAATATCTTTGGCTTGAAATAATATAAAGCAGAGTTATAAGTACTGCCACAGGCCATGCAGCCATATTCTGACCCATCGGCAAATATGAGCCTGTTGCCGATTCCTCATACCTCTCCCCAAAATGGGTTTTCTTCCTGCATTTTGCTTGTTGTACTGAGAGCAGTAATAGAGCTGCCTTCCATCATCCACATAGAAGTATGCACAGAGTCTCTACAAGCTGTTTTAAAATCCAGGGAGATATTGAGGTAATGCCCATAGCAACCATGTAAATTATTTGTATATTAGTGAAGTAAACACCTGGAAATACAGGTCCAAGGCAGCACTGAAAACCCTGCATTATTTATATTATTTATATTATGTATGCCTGCAGCTGTATTGAAATTGCAGTCATGGACTATGAAAAACGAAGATGTTATCCACATACCTGTTTGATTTAATGTCTTTAGTCTGTGTAATGCCTTTAGTCTGATGGTCAATGTCTTCAGTGCCAGGATCCAAACATGATGATTCTCATGCAGTACTGAACTCATGTCACCACTAGAGATCACAATATATTATAAGCATCCAGCCTCCATATAAACTTGGCCAAGACCTGTCCATACACTATCCAATGTGGATTCAGATAATCATCTGTCGGGGTTTGCTCTGGAGACATGAACTCCCATCTCTGTAACTAAACCTGTGCATGATCTGTCAAGAGTTTGTGATCTCTAGTGCTTACATTTGCCCAGAGCAGTGCAAACATCAATGCTTATGACTGACTCTTGGCACAGAAGACTTTGAATGCAATAGGTATGTGAACAGAAACAATCCTTGGTTTTCAGTCCTTGATTGCAGTTCCTGTGTGAACATAGACAGGCTGCATTGTAAATACTGCAATGGGTTTGTGATGACAGCTTCAAGGTGGTGGTGTGCATGTGTGTGTAGGATGATGAAATGCCAGAGGTAATAGGTTATAATTTTGAGACTGCTATCTATGAATGTATTTAAAAAAAAAACAAAAAAAACAAACAAACAGTTATCCTTGAAGGATTACAAGGTTTTAGTTGTTTCCCCATCACATTTCAATCCCATGACATACATTGATCTAAACAGAAAAAGCACAGTTAACACAAATACCATCAGCACAACAGTGGCAGTTTATATATAGATTATAGATACAGTGCAAATTGTGTCAAGCACGCATATAAGCTTCGGAATTTTTAGAACACAGAGCTGGTTAGACTGCCGTTGGCTGAAGCAAGACATCATCAGACCACAAGTTGTACTGTAGGTGGGTTTATGAGTGCAGATCATGACATAATCATTACATTCTCCTTTGTGAACTGAGATCATGAAGAATGTATTTCTGGCATTGTCAAAGCATTCCATGTATACTTGCCAACCTCTCCAGCACAATTTGCAGGAAAGCATTTTACGACCCCTGACATCTTTTTGCCTATAAAAAAATATATGTCCTCAACGTCTCATGAATTATTAATAGTAACATTTTGCTGTGCCTGGTTTTTTTCTAGGCTTATTATTGCCATTGATTCTGTCTGTATTTTAATGAAAAAATAAGGTATATTATCATCATTCATTCCGGCAGTGTGCAAGATGGGGCAGCTATCTAAATTAAGACATATTGAGGGACATTTATGGAAATGGGAATAGAGGAAGAAGGAGCCAGAACAAATGATACAGAGTAGACATTAAAGCTTATTTAATAAGGAAATCTGAAATGTGAAAAGCATAGTAAGCAGTGGTAACCATCTTTCCTTGTTCCGATACCTATAAAAAGTATATAGAATGAGATTTGTTTCTTTGCCATGCGTTTCTTTATTAACAACCACAGTTGGCATTATTTGAGAACATGAAGCAGAGGTCTGAGAGGTGTCGTAGATAACAACAACCAGACATCATCTTTTAATGTCCTTTATAGACTTCATAATTAAAAGTGAATATTTGATTGCTTGTGATGTCTTAAGACATCTCTGCCCTCCTCCTGATAGTATAGAAAGACATCATTTTCCTTCAACAGTTTAGGCAATGACAGGCGAGTTATTCAAAATATTTAAAAAAAAAAAAAGTGCTTAAAAGGGCAACCTGGAGAATAATGCCCAATGCCCGGTCTGTGGAATTAAAGCATAAGCGAAAACCATTGTGCACTGCCATCAGCCATACACACCAATTAGAGGCGCACGTGACTTGCTGGGAAGGCAGCCCATTGACTGCATAAAACATAACAATATAGATCCAATATTTATCAGTGTTTATTAAGAAGTAACTATTGCTGTTGCTCCTCACCATCTCTGTGTAAAATGGATCAATTAAAGTACAAAAAAAGGATAATCTGACTGGTTGCTACTAGCAGCAAACATTGCTGTTCTTGCAGACATTGATAAAGGCCAATTTGCTCCTTTTGTCTTGGCATCATACTTTAGGTCAGTTTTGGGTTTGGAAAGGGACATTATGGAAGGACATTACTGGATATTGAGTTATTATAGGTATATTAAGCATCAGAGATTGTTGATCCAGGGAATAACCGATTGCCTTATGGGATCTGGAAGGAATTTTTTACCGCTGTTGGAGCAAATTGAACCATGCTTTATAGGGTTTTCTTGCCATCCTCTGGATCATCAACATTGGGTAATTGTGAGCATAGCGTTCTGTTTAGGCTTTTTATTTTTCCTCTTATATTAGGTTGAACTCCATGGACATGTGTGTTTTTTCAACTTGACTAACTATGTAACTATGAAAGCATATTGAAATAGATTTTTTTTTATTTTAAAAATGTTTTTGAAGTTGCTACAAATATGGAATTGTTCAGATGGTTGCTAAACACTCTGTACATGGATGGATAAAAAGGGTCATATTTACAGCATACTGCATGTGACTGATGTGGTACATGCAGGAACTGAAGACAGGCCATGTTTGGTGAATTTGAGTGTCCAAAGACAGCTGCTTTCTATACTTTGGAATTTATGCAGCCAGACACATCCTGGGAACCTGAAGATATATATAAAAAAAAAAAACATAGCCCATCCTGCCAGCTGCTTAAAAATAAGAACATTAAATATGGCAGTCAATTTTAGAAATTGAATTCATCTCCTGTCTTTCGGTCATTTAAACTGAACCTGTCACTTTGCCCATTCAGGGCAAAATAACAGTTTTAATTGATAGCCCACCCCTTTTTACTGATACCTCCTCCACATTCCCCCATTTTCCTGCCAGAGCCTTGACCTATCAGTCTGTGTTGGCACTTACATCGGATAATGGGCTTACTACAGCTTTAAGTGCTGCGGCCTTTTGATTGGCCATTATGTGCCGCCATGGCAAGAAAATGGGTATACATTCCCTCATAGCTGGAAGTACAGGTTCTCCCTCATAGCTGGAAGTACAGGTTATTTCACAGGGTCCTACAAGGCAAATAGAGCAGGGTGGCAGCATGGTAAAGGTAACTATCTGTGCAAGGTGTTATAAAGGGAATCAGTCCCTTTGCCATGAATGGGTTTTTATGATGTTCATTGTGAAATGCTAAGTAACCCCCATGGAAGCGGACTCTTTTGCCGTGTTTTTTTAAGGCACAGGTTCCAAGGCTGTTATCCTAAACCTGACTACAGTACTTCCAGTACAGTAGAGTTCTGGAACAAGCATGTAGTCAGAGAAATCTGAAAAAATCTAAAATCCCTTGTGCATTCCATGTCAGCCAAGATAAGAATGACCACCCCAAGTCTGCACCTATAAAAACCATGAGCTATGACAGCCCCATATTTCTATCCTCACATCTTGAGATGTACTTTGCCGCTATGTAAAACATTGCACACTGCTGTCTATAACAGATGTGGAATGGTTGCATAGTAACAAGAGGAACAGCAGAACGTTTACAAGCATTGGGAAACCTAAATAGGTGTTGCCTTTCCTTAAAATATCTCATTTGACGAAAAATAGCATTAGTGTTCAGGTGCAAGGTTTACACTAGTCACAAAAGCTTGTGACATGGATTTTTTTGGAATAGCCTTCTCCCAGAAAACCCTAATGGGTCACTTTGTTAACTGAACTGTGAGACACATCCAAATCAGCAAGCTGCATGTCAATTAATTGCCCTTCTGGGACCCAACACCATCAAAGCTCTAAAAAGCTTTGTTTGAATTTATACAAATGAAAAATGTATGAAGGGAGGAAGCCTCCTGGGAGTTTGCAGGCTATATAATTTGACAACACAGATCTATAAAAAGATACATAAAACAATGTAAACCAAATTATCAACGGAATGTAGAAGTTGGCAAGTATACAGATCAACTCGAATGCAAACATTCTTGAACAAACAACACATCGGATGCATTCACACAGAGCACTGTGAAATAAACATTTCACCTATGACATGAATTTGTGGGTTATCGAGTATGATAATGATGTGCTGCTGTTTGCAGTGCATTTCCTATGTGCAATTATAAAAAAAAAACAACAATCTAAAAGAAAAGGA